AAAAAAAAAAAAAAACTAAAATAATACACCGCTAACTTTAGCTGATACCAATATGGTCACTAGTATATCACACATTTCTTCAAAACAAAAGTGTTGCGTTTATAATTTTGTTCAGTGTAATTAAACTATATTTAATATGTAATTAAACCTCTGTGCGTGTGAATCAAAACAGAATGTTCTTGAAGCTTTGTTTAGGTAATTAAAAAGTGAGTCATGAAACATTCATCAATGAATTAGTGTGCTTTATATCTATTTCAAACCTCCAAATCGACAAATGAAAAGGTTAGAAGTACAAGCATCAAAGAAAAGGAATTCATCCTTGTTGCAATGGATGGAATAGACTTCGCAAACATGATACCATTTATATCACTATGAGCTTTTATGGTGCTTTTGTGTGCAACCTCTCTAAACTAAACACACCTTTAGTAATATAATGTCCTTTATACAGTATAAAAGAAAAATCGAAAATATTCTCATATCTTGAACCCATGCTCGTCTTCAATGAGCCTTAGCAAAATAAATGGCACAAAATAAAATGAGGAAGACCTGAGAAGCGCTGGCGAGACATTGATAGAGTAGAGAGTTTGAGTACGGTTTACCAAATGACTTATTTTACCGCCCTCCTTCAAAACACATTCCCCACATTTGAAGACAAAATGATTGCATATCTGGAGTAAATGTGCTCTGTGAAAATGGAGAAATTCAACTGGATGAGACACCGGAGAGAATGAGGCATAATTTCTGTCCTGAAAGGTGAGAGACGAATGATGTTAGAAGGGACAAGAAAGATGGAGTGCTGGAGAGATACAGCATCTACACCGGTTAAGAGAGAAGTAGTCAGTGAGTCAGAGGCTGAAGAAAGGCGAGATGGTTTTGGTTATGACCAGCACTGCTAGCTGTAAAGGACAAGCTATTTGGGAAATGGGAATGGGAATGGAAAAAAAAAAAAAACCACTAACACACGAACACAAGAGGTAAAAGGGTAGCCATACCTGGGAACTGAGCAGCTCCTGTGTGAAAGGGGGAGAAGAAAAGAGAAAATAATTAGGATGAAGCCATTCACCAATAGATGACTCACAAAGTGTCATGCAGTCAGAGGAAAGAAAAACAGCACATTTAAAAATGGCAAATAAATTACCTTGCAAGGTCACAGTAAATGTTTAAAAAAAAGAAAGAAAGAAAAAAAAAGAATTTATAACATAACATAACATAACATAACTGTCACGGTCAAGGTGTGTGGAGGCAGGCAGGATGACGAGGACGACAAGGATTCAAATAAGGATGTTTAATGTAGAGACAACAAGGCAGATACGGGTAGATGAGACACACACACTCAGGGTAACATTCACAATAACCGACAAACTAGACTACAGGAGGCAGGAACTAATATAGGGTGGATAACGAGGGGCAGACAGGTGAGCACAATCAAGGTAATTAACTAATAATGAGGACAGGAACAACCAAATAAGGACACAGGGGCGTTACAATAACAGTGTTTCCCATACATTGATTTATTTGTGGTCGGCCCGCCACAATATGAACACTGACCTCCACAAATAGATTTTCCAAAAAGCTTTGACTTCTTTGAAAAACCATGAGCTCTGCACATTTCAAAGTCAAAACGCGGCACGGAACTTTTTATATGAATGTATATTTGAAGGGAACTGACTGTCTTTAGAAAAGTTTCGATGTCATTTTCATTTAATCTTTCCTATGCCTGATGCCTGATAAAGCAGCGTTTATGAGTGGAGTGCTGCTTTGTTTACAGCCGTTAACCGCTATTTCTGCCACTCCTAAAGCACCTCCTGCTGGCAGAGAATGAATGTCCATTTTCAATAAGCCCGTTTACTGTTTTATATATAGCCTATATTTCCCCCAGGGGATGTGCCGCCACACATAGAGTGCAAGTCTGTGGGAAACACTGTATAATACAATACAATACAATATAATATAATATAATATAATAATACAACAGTTCATTCTGGTCCTCAAATCTGATTGACTGAGAGGTCTTTCCAACCATGAGATATTCATTCAATAATGCCGTGGGAACTGTTTCACTGTTTGTATCACTCCGCTTGCAGCATTTCTTACAGTGAGTGGTATGGCGAATTTCCAAATTTAATCTTAGAAATACTACTGTTGTTGTGTCACTAATTGTAGTTTTAAGAGTTTTTTTTAGGCGATAATGTAGTTGCCTATATTTCAAATATGTGATTTATTAATAAAGATAGTACTTATTTGAACATTTACTTCAAAGTTGTTGGAGATGTGAAATATTTGATATTAATCCAAATTCATCCACTTTAAAGCACTTGAGAAAAAAAATCATTAATTGACTCAGATTCCTAATAAAAAAAAAAAACAATCAATCATGTATAGGAGTTATGTAACGTGGCTGATACAAACAAACTTTAGGTCCCACATGGATAGTACAATCTGACTGACTGTCCACTTCATGGTGTATCTTGAGCAGCCATTAAAAACCGCAAGATCCTCATGAATATAACAATAAGAAACAATGGAGGAACAAATTCATTATCAGGTCCCTGGCGGAACATTACTTTAACTTGTTCAGTGCCTTCTCTTGACATGGCGTGCTGTAAAACTTCATTAAATGCAAAATGTCAACAGCACCTGGTCTTGAGCTCATCTACTGTATCTGCAGCTAAGGCCCCAAATCAGAGGCTTAGCTAATGCACCGCCTCTGGTACCCGCATAACAGTTTTAAAAATCACTTAGAGCCGACATGGCTTTATGAAACTGCAATGAGTCAGAGTCTGATTAGAAAAACAATTTTCTTATTAGCATTTTCACCAAATTTTCATCTTAGCTAATGTGCTAATTAGCATTCCTCTTCTGGGACTCAACGCAAAGCCATTGAAGATGGATATTTGTGCCTCAGCCTTGCTCAGAGCGTCTGCATGTCAACTGAATTTAAATAACATTAGAGAAGTACACAGAAATCCGTGCAAATATCCATGGGTGACCATGGCATAAATCATCTCTCAGTACCAAACAAAACTCTTCAAATCCGGCCGCTTGCAACAAGACCCTCGAGGCAAGATCTAAATATACCTCACAAAGCTTTGCATAGGCCTATAAAACAGGCTCGTGCCCACCAGGATTCCTTAAGACAATGTTGGCTATGGTTGGAAACTACCCTGGTCTAAGTTGCAGGTCTTTTTTTTTAGTAGAGTAGATTGGTAGAGACTTGCGGTGAGAGAATACAGTGTGCCTTCTTTAGGATTTGTCGCATGATTTGGTTGAGAGCCACAGGGGACCAGGGCCACCCTTGAATTTAGACCCCTGGAACATAGGCCACACGAATAGGGTTATCCATGTTAAGTAAATGTCAGCCGTCAGAATAACTCTGCATTGGCTTTTTAGCCATAGGCTTTGCTTGGCCCCTGACTGGTGAGCTAAGGGACCGCCAGTCCGTGTCACACTCTCTCCCCTTCTCTTCAGGTGAGGTTAAAATCTCTGACCAGTGCAATGCATTAAACATGAGTTATCCCACTTGAGAGACGCTCCCTACTCCAAAATGATAGGGACATTAACTTTGGGGTCAGCATGCATGAGCTGCATTAATGAACCCTTGTGTCTCGCTTTATGTTTGCACCAACCCGAGAGCACTTCACATAGTCAAAAGCCTGAAAGCAAGGCATGTTTAAAAAACATGCTGTCATAACTGGGAATCTATTGCTGCAGAAAGAGATATTCATTTAGACATCTCAAAAATATATTATATTATATTATATAAAAATATAATTAATAATATTGATATTATCATTCTTTGTTTATTTTTACACTTTTATCCAAAGCAACTTACAAACCCCAATACAGTAAAACTGCACATTTTAGAGTGGCCTTTTATTGTGGCCAGCCTAAGGCACACCTGTGCAATAATCATGCTGTCTAATCAGCATCTTGCTATGCCACACCTGTGAGGTGGATGGATTGTCTTGGCAAAGGAGAAGTGCTCACTAACACAGATTTAGACAGATTTGTAAACAATATTTGAGAGAAATAGGCCTTTTGTGTACATAGAAAAAGTCTTAGATCTTTGAGTTCAGCTCATGAAAAATGGGGGCAAAAACAAAAGTGTTGCGTTTATAATTTTGTTCAGTGTAATTAAACTATATTTAATATGTAATTAAACCTCTGTGCGTGTGAATCAAAACAGAATGTTCTTGAAGCTTTGTTTAGGTAATTAAAAAGTGAGTCATGAAACATTCATCAATGAATTAGTGTGCTTTATATCTATTTCAAACCTCCAAATCGACAAATGAAAAGGTTAGAAGTACAAGCATCAAAGAAAAGGAATTCATCCTTGTTGCAATGGATGGAATAGACTTCGCAAACATGATACCATTTATATCACTATGAGCTTTTATGGTGCTTTTGTGTGCAACCTCTCTAAACTAAACACACCTTTAGTAATATAATGTCCTTTATACAGTATAAAAGAAAAATCGAAAATATTCTCATATCTTGAACCCATGCTCGTCTTCAATGAGCCTTAGCAAAATAAATGGCACAAAATAAAATGAGGAAGACCTGAGAAGCGCTGGCGAGACATTGATAGAGTAGAGAGTTTGAGTACGGTTTACCAAATGACTTATTTTACCGCCCTCCTTCAAAACACATTCCCCACATTTGAAGAGGAAATGATTGCATATCTGGAGTAAATGTGCTATGTGAAAATGGAGAAATTCAACTGGATGAGACACCGGAGAGAATGAGGCGTAATTTCTGTCCTGAAAGGTAAGAGACAGATGATGTTAGAAGGGACGAGGAAGATGGAGTGCTGGAGAGATACAGCACCTGTACCGGTGGAGGCTGAGAGAGAAGAAGTCAGTTTGTCAGAGGCAGAAGAAAGGCGAGATGGTTTCGGTTATGACCAGCACTGCTAGCTGTAAAGGACAAGCTATTTGGAAAATGGGAATGAAGAAAAAAAAACGAACACACGAACACAAGAGGTAAAAAGGAAGCCATACCTGGGAACTGAGCAGCTCCTGTGTGAAAGGGGGAGAGGAAAAGAGAAAATAATTAGGAGGAAGCCATTCACGAATAGACGACCCCCAAAGTGTCATGCAGTCAGAGGAAAGAAAAATAGCACATTTGAAAAAGCCAAGTATTATCTTCCAAAATCACAGTCAATGTTTAAAAAATAAAAATAAAATAAAAAATGTAAAATATAATATAATACAATATACAACAGTTCGTTCTGGTCCTCAAATCTGATTGGCTGAAAGGTTTTTCCAACCATGAGATATTCACCCAATATTGTCACGGGAACCGCTTCACCATTTGTATCACTCTGCTTGCAGCAATTCTCACAGTGAGTGTCATGGCGTCTACTACAATCTTAGAAATACTACCATTGTCACAAATTGTAGTTTTAAGAGTTTTTTTAGGTGAGAATATAGTTGTTTATACTTCACATATGCTGTTTGTTAATAAAGATAGTGTCTATTTGAAAATTAGCTTGAACATTTTCAGAGATGTGAATGTGCCGAGAGCAGCCTCACCTCGGCCAGTTCTTCGGGCTCTGAAGTCTCTAGAGTGGTTAAACATGAGCTATAAATCTAACGGGCAATCTTTGGTCTCATTAATCTATTATTTGTTCCAGAGCAAACAGTTTTGGCTGAGGGCAAAGTCATATGCATAGCTTTACATTTTATATAACTTTAATGCTGTATATCAGAGCTCTGCCATTGAACTTTTAACTGAATTGGTTAGCAACTTTTATGTTGGCTGTTGTTGTTGTTTTTAAAGATTTATTTTTGGCTTTATTGTGATAGGACAGATCAGACATGACAGGAAGCAAAGTGGAAGAGAAAGAGGGGGGCAGGATCGGGAAAGATCCTTGAGTCGGGATACGAACTCGGGATGCCCATAGAGCAATGGCGCTGTATGTCGGTGCGCTGCCCACAAGGCTATCGGCGCTGACGGCTCTTGTTTATTAAATATTCATTGCTCCATTGGTCCACCATTAGATGGCGACAGGGGACTATTTATGAGTGAGTCAGCAGTAAAGACGTTTACATTGAAAGAGACTGAAACAGGGATGTAAACAAGGACATTATTTTCAACAACACTTTGTAAAACGCAGCCAACAAATGCACTGAGCAGTGCTGTCATCGGAAATCACCCTCAACAGATGAAAGGATAGTATGACAAAGATATTGCTTTTCTCAGTTGACATTCAAACTAATGTTTTATTGTGAATATGAGATTGAGCTGAAGAATAAATTCTGTATCATATGCAGTTAATCACACTCGCTCAGTCCATCTCATATAATTCCCTAATAAAATAAATAAACTCAATTATGTTATTGTTGTTATTATTGAACAGCCATTAAAACAGCGAAATCCTCATGAATATAACAATAAGAAACAATGGAGGGAGAAATTCATCATCAGGTCCCCGGCGGAACATTACTTTAACTCGTTCATTGCTTTTTCTTGACGCGGCGCGCTGTGAAACTTCATTAATTGCAACATGTCAACAGCACCTGGTCTTGAGCTCATCTATCTGCTGCTAAGGCCCCAAATCAGAAGCGTAGCTAATGCACTGCCTCTGGTACCCGTATAACAGTTTTAAAAAGCACTTAGAGCCAACATGGCTTTATGAAACTGTGCAATGAGTCAGAGTCTGATTAGAAAAACAATTTTCTTATTAGCATTTTCACCAAATTTTCATCTTAGCTAATGTGCTAATTAGCATTCCTCTTCTGGGACTCAACGCAAAGCCATTGAAGATGGATATTTGTGCCTCAGCTTTGCTCAGAGCATCTGCATGTCAATTGAATTTAAACAACATTAGAGAAAGTACACAGAAATCCATGCAAATATCCATGGGTGACCACGGCATAAATCATCGCTCAGTACCAAACAAAACTCTTCAAACCCAGCCGCTTGCACCAAGACCCTTGAGGCAAGATCTAAATATACCTCACAGAGCTTTGCATAGGCCTATGAAACAGCCAGGATTCCTTCAACAACACAACGTTGGCTATAGTTGGAAACTAGCCTGGTCTAAGCTGCAGGTCTTTTTTTAGTAGAGTAGATCGGTAGAGACTTGGTGCCGTGAGAGAATACAGTGTGCCTTCTTTAGGATTTGTCACATGATTTGGTTGAGTCACAGGGGACTGGGGCCACCCTTGAATTTAGACCCCTGGAGCACAGGCCACACGAACAGGGTTATCCATGTTAAGTAAATGTCAGACGTCAGAATAACTCTGCATTGGCTTTTCAGCCCTAGGCTTTACTGGGCCCCTGACTGGAGAGCTAAGGGACTGCCCAGTTCATGTCACACTCTCTCCCCTTCTCTTCAGGTGAGGTTAAAATCTCTGACCAGTGCAATGCATTAAACATGAGTTATCCCACTTGAGAGACGCTCCCTACTCCAAAATGATAGGGACATTAACTTTGGGGTCAGCATGCATGAGCTGCATTAATGAACCCTTGTGTCTCGCTTTATGTGCACACCAACCTGAGAGCACTTCACATAGTCAAAAGCCTGAAAGCAAGGCATGTTTAAAAAACATGCTGTCATAACTGGGAATCTATTGCTGCAGAAAGAGATATTCATTTAGACATCTCAAAAATATATTATATTATATTATATAAAAATATAATTAATAATATTGATATTATCATTCTTTGTTTATATTATATGTAGGCCTATATATGTATTTAATAATCATTGTTATATTTTATTTTTTATAGATATTTAATAATCATTTATATAATAAAACGATCATTAGGCCAAACTGATGCATTTGAAACATGACCTTACACTACAGCTCACTTCTGGCCAGCTGCCTCACACACAGGTATCCACAGCATCACCGTCCTCATCAAAACCTAGAAACCTGCTGCTCATGAAGTATTAAATTAAACATGATAAGTGGTCCCATTAAAGCACAATTATCAGTAATCTGCAAATGTGAACAAGAGAAAAGCTTTTTCCAGCTAAAAATGTCACTGGACAAAAACCGTCAGATTCATGGACTTCAAAGTCAGCGACAAAGTGCAAGTGTTTCTAAGGATCAAGTCTTTGTCCTATCAGGCTGCTTTAGTCAGAGATTATTGAAGCATGTGTGTACCTGAGCCATAATAGGGAGGGATTTATTGTCTGTCTGCCTGCCGAGCGGTGATTAGACACCACTGCTGCCACTCTGATAAGCCTCGCTGATGGGAATAGACACCTAAAACCACCTTGGAGGAGCCAGAGAGAGAGGTCACATCTGGCGGATCCAACCGTCCACCTCTGACTTTGAAGTGACTTCTGAGGTTTACTAAAACTTTGGGGACACTTATAACTTATATTATCATTCTTTGTTTATTTTTACACTTTTATCCAAAGCAACTTACAAACAATGAATACAACAATTTATTTATTTAAAATTCTAAATTCTAAAATAAATACATATTTATTTATTGTGGTGGTGAATTATATTAATAATAATAATAATTATTATTATTATTCTTTTGTGGCAGTCCTAAGCGCTAAAATAAATAAACAGTTTATCTAAAACAACTAATAATCATTTTAATAGATATAATATATTAATTATATATTTAATTATATTATATGTAGGCCTATATATGTATTTAATAATCATTGTTATATTTTATTTTTTATAGATATTTAATAATCATTTATATAATAAAACGATCATTAGGCCAAACTGATGCATTTGAAACATGACCTTACACTACAGCTCACTTCTGGCCAGCTGCCTCACACACAGGTATCCACAGCATCACCGTCCTCATCAAAACCTAGAAACCTGCTGCTCATGAAGTATTAAATTAAACATGATAAGTGGTCCCATTAAAGCACAATTATCAGTAATCTGCAAATGTGAACAAGAGAAAAGCTTTTTCCAGCTAAAAATGTCACTGGACAAAAACCGTCAGATTCATGGACTTCAAAGTCAGCGACAAAGTGCAAGTGTTTCTAAGGATCAAGTCTTTGTCCTATCAGGCTGCTTTAGTCAGAGATTATTGAAGCATGTGTGTACCTGAGCCATAATAGGGAGGGATTTATTGTCTGTCTGCCTGCCGAGCGGTGATTAGACACCACTGCTGCCACTCTGATAAGCCTCGCTGATGGGAATAGACACCTAAAACCACCTTGGAGGAGCCAGAGAGAGAGGTCACATCTGGCGGATCCAACCGTCCACCTCTGACTTTGAAGTGACTTCTGAGGTTTACTAAAACTTTGGGGACACTTATAACTTCTTCAGAGGAGTGAGGCTCATTAGGCAAAAAAAAAGGAATTATAGCCCCAATATTTTAGAATTCGAGATCCAGCACAGGTCTGTTTTCACAGATTAATTTCCTTCTGCTTTGGGGAATCCAGCACTGATTTCTGACATTACACAGAACATTCATGAGAAGATTCAATGTGGGCAGCCAGAAATGTGTGCCAGCTAACCTGCCATGAACAGTTTGATATTTTTAAAAAATTCTTTAAAGACTACCCCGCTGATTTTTCATGCTGGTCAGCACTGCCACGGTGTAAGTAAAGGATGTGCAACACTACATTTCAAAATTGACATATAAAGCACAGCACACTAATTAAAAAATGGATAAATAAATAAAAATAAAAATTCTATATAAAAAATATCACCCCACACAACAACAACAACAACTGCTACTACTATAACTTTAACCTTTCCAAATATATGAATTAGCATAACTCAATATTTTATAAATGAACATTAATTCATTACATTACCAATCAATACAATACAATATATTTTTTTAAATACTGAACTGAATGATGTTATTCAGCAAGGATGCATTAAATTAAAGAGACTTCTTTCAAAAAAATATTAATATTAATATTCTTAAATAAATAAATAAATACATTATTTATTTGTTTCTTGTGTTATTAAAATGTTATATAACAACAACAACAAAAATAACTATTCATAAATAAATAAATATACTTATTTAGTGGCAGTGATTTTATAAGAGCACTACAACAAATAAACAA